ATTAACTCACAGCCTCCTTCAGGTAATCTTGAACCCATCGGTGATAAGCAGCATCAAAAACACAACTGTCTCTAATACAGAAATGCGTAACTACAGAGCTCTATTGTCACACCTGAACTTTAAGATCCTTGGTAAGGAAAAAAGGAATATGCTAAACTGTTTCATATTCCATGGTCCTGAGCACCTACCAAGTATTCATATTTATTAACAATAACTGGAGTGTTAAGTATGCTCCAAACCCTAAATCAGCATTTGGTCATTGTGTAATAGAGAACAAATAAAAAGAACTGATTAAGTAGAAAGACAACAAACAAGGCCTTTCCACATTACCTACCTCAAAAAAGTGAACAAAGACTGAAATACTAGCCTTATTTCAGTACCTTATTTCAGTTACCTCTGTAACCCTGAGCAACTCATTCATACATTCATTTACTTACTCAGTATTTGAGTTTTTCTACTAAACAGAAGGCACCTTCCTAAGTAAACAAGGTTTATGACGCCTAAATGGACAGACATACAAGCCCTGAAGAAGCTCACAGGCTAGCTAGCCAGGAAGACACACAGGAAGTAAGTAGTAATGGAGTAACTATTTACTTGCAATTGAAATGAGTGACAGACACCAAAATTCACTGTCTTATCAAAGTGCATAACTGAACTTGACTGATCTAGGTTATTCGGTGAAATAACTACCTCCTGAAATTATATTTCCTCATTTGTAAAGGTTACAAGGTTGCAAAGACAGTGATTAAGTTCATAGTACCTAATACTTTTTATTATGTACCTCCTAGTATCCCTACTCCCCTCCTAGCCTTTCCTTAAAAGATGATTTCCAGGTAATATGAATTCCACTGCCTGTCATTATGTTAACATAACCAACCAACAAGGAAGTCCTAGTTCCTCTACAAGGAAGCCCCAAAATCAAAGCCACAGTAAAAAAATAATAATAAAATTAATTAAATTGAATGAAATAACAATTAATCAGTCATTCCTTTAGATTAAAAAATACAGGTGCCCACCCCCAATTACCTAGGATATTTTAATTATTTTCATGGCAGTGACTTTCAACCTTGGAAAATTTTAGAATTAAGATTAGAATGATAAAAGTAAGTCAAACCAGAGTAACAATAGTTTGGGTTTTTTTTTTTTTTTTAGAATTTTTATATGTTTATTTGAGAGAGAGAGAGAGAGAGAGAGAGCGCATAAGTGGAGGTTAAAGGAGGGGCAGAGGGAAAGGGAGAAGTAGACTCCCCACTGAGCAGAGAGGCTGACTCAGGGCTGGATCCCAGGACCCTGGGATCATGACCTGAGCTGAAGGCAGACGCTTAACGACTGTGCCACCCAGGTGCCCCTGTGTGTGTGTGTGTGTGGGGGGGGTTTCTCTGGTTTTTTTTTAAGATACTGATTTAAGAGAGAGAGAGCAGGGAGAGGGGCAGAAGGACAGAAGGACGAGCAGACTCACCACCGAGCGCAGAGCCAGCCTGACTCTGGGCTCAATCCCAGGACCCTGGGATCATGACCTGAGCTGAAGGCAGATGCTTAACAAACTGAGCCACCCAGGCGCCCTCTGTTTCTTATCTAAAATATTTGTAACACTGATAATTATGTGGTATATTTAAGTATCTTAAAATTGTCCCTCTGATTTCAACTGAAAAAAATATAGATAGGTATCCACAACACACCCCAGAGATTTTCATATTTTGAAAAGCTCTACAGATGGTTTTAATGCACAGCCAAGTGGTAGTAGGTATAAATACTGTGAATAGCATACCTCTTATTTCTGGTTAATAGATGACATGATGTCCAATGGTGATTAAAAACATAGTACTAGATTGTCCAAATGGTTCATGCATTAGAAGCAGAGTTCTTTTCCTAAGAATTCCAAAGTATTAACATATTTCACCTCTCTATACTTCCCAGAGGATAAAAAGCAAGGATAATTTTACTTCATTGAAGAATTAGGTGAATTTAAGGTTCTCCAGGTTTACATTTCTCCTATTACACCGCCTCTATCATCCAAAACCTATAAAATCCAAGACTTTTCTTCTAATCTTTTATTAAAATGTGGCTAACAAAATATAGCTATAAAAAGTGATACTTTTCTAATAAACCTTCACGATAACTGGATCAGCAAAACAGAACCATAAAAGTGATTATTTAATGTGGCACAGTGTATTATGTAACGCAATTTCCCTTTCCCCTTAAAGATACTGAATTATTTTCACTTCCTGTGGGTACTTGTGAAAAATGACTGACCCAGAATAAGACTAACATGTACATTCAAAGATGTGAATAAACTGAAAACATTTTTTTAAAAAATTCTTCTTCAGTGATGTTGTTAGCATGACTGGAACGGGTTTCAACAGTCTGAATACACGTTAGGTCGTTAAGTGGAACCACAACAGCTAACCGCACCTTCAAACACTTGCATCAAATAGGTGGTGGTCAAGCAAAAATAGAGTAAAAACAGGGTCTGTTATCTTTTGTTTCTTTATTAAATGCCACTCTGCAGGCATTTTAATAGGTAAAAACAGCTGTAGGAATGCCTTCTTCATGAATTACAGTTATGCAGGCAATATATATAATTTCCCTAAAAACTGTTCAAAAAATTCCTGAACTATTTACTAACTAAACTGGCCTGTTATACTCATGACTCTCTACTGTTACAAACTGTCACTTCTATATATTTTATATACTATCCAGTTATAATAATTAATGTTTAAGTTAAACGTTACATTTTGTTATTTTTACACTCTACTGTAATTCCCTGAGAATTCACCTACCTCACCAAAGAAAAGCATGATCTCTGAGCAGAATAAACAATAAAAGTTCAGAGAATCCATGTTTTATGTCTTCTTTATTAGAAATCATTTCGAGCACGCTCAACTTTCAGAGACATGGAACTGAAGTGCAGTTCTTAAATTCCTCTCCCTATTACCCACTGACATCACTAGAACTGTATAATCACAAAGTTATTCTTTGCTTCAAAGCTTTAATTACAGCTTTAAAATATGTTTCATCAGTGACCAAGGACGTATTTTCAGTGACGAAGGAAGTATTTTCAGTGACCAAGGAATGGTGCACCACTTATCCACTAGTGATGAAAGACTTCTCTTACCTACAACAACAAGATTTGCTTAGACAGGACACCCAAGTCCACTCTTTGAGAATAAGTTTGCTCCATTTCCTCTCAGCTAATTAAGGAACTGATGTAACAGATGCTATTTCCCATCTAACTGAAATATGAAGGCAATGGAAACATTTTCTCAGGTATAAAACAAGCTTTGTAACAACCACATGAAATCATTGTAATGCTTACGAATTAAGCTACCATTAATAATTACCGTGATTAATTTTGAAAATGAGGTTCAATTTAAATAATGTTAATAGTAATCATAATTGAAGAAAACATCTCTTTGAAAATGACCACATACACCTAAAGATTTATCAACTGTCTATATTATAAAACAATCAATATAAAAAATACTAAAAATAATCCTTTCATATTTACTAATCCTAAAGTTACCTTATTTTACAGATGAGATTTAGTCAGAGAAAGTAACTTGTCGCAAGTGCTTTAAAGAGTAAGTAAAAGACCCAGAATATAAACGCAAGTCTGACTCTTTTTCTCATGTCCTCTCCACTATGCCACACTGGAAGCAGCATCATTGAACCTATTCTTTTTCCATGTCCGCATGAAATGTGAAAGTATCTCTGAGGCCCATTTTTGACTAGTTGTCTCAGGAGCTCTTCCATCTTCAATTTCTCTAGGAGTTCTAGTCATCTGATTCTTACCAATGACACATTTTTATAAGGCAACTCTATTATGTATATAGATCTCATCTCTTCATTTCTACTATTGGTTAAAATTCTACTTAAGATTAGGATTCTTGCCCCATGTTTCTTAGGATATTCTTCACACTCAGATGTTTAGTGAAATGGGAGAGAAAATACCATGTTCAATAAACATAACTCCATATTACCAACTCTAGAGTTCAGCTCTCTAATTTTATCTACAAAGTAGGAGATGTAACAATATATCCTCACAGTAAACAAATTCATGCAGCCATAAAAAATGCAAGCCTCGGGAGCACCTGGGGGCTCAGTCGGTTGAGCACCCCAACTCTTGATTTCGGCTCAGGTCATGATCTCAGGGTTCGTGAGCCCATGTCAGGCTCTGCGCTCAGTGTGGAGTCTGTTTGAGATTAGCTCCCCCCCTCCTCCCACTCACAGGTTCATGCGTGCTCTCTGGCTCTCACAAACAAACAAACAAACAAACAAACAAACAAAATCTTTCAAAAAAGAAATGCAAGCCTCTGTGAACACCTACTGCATTTGGGAGAGCTGTAAGCAGCTGAATTATGGCCTTCCTAGGCTTACCATGCCAGATCTTCTTACTGAAATACAAAATTGGCATTCTATGGGGGGGGGGGGAGAACTTATAAATCAAGTTAATTTGATTTTCTTTGAAAAACAGAGCATTTTATTCTAATTGTTCCATGCTGAAAGAACTGATTTTAAGTAGTAGAAACTATTACACAATAAATGGAACCCTAATCCTCAAAGTCTACAGCTCATAAATTGCAAAGACTTTATCTACATATGCAAATTTAATAGTTAATAACACTTAAATTTATATCCCTTATCAATAAAATATCCTGTAATATCAATAACCAAAATAAAGGCCTTCCTCCCAGTAAAGTATAAAAACACTTCTTCCTTAAAATTCTCTAATGGTTTGTAGTAATTTTGAAAAACCTATCTAGGAAGCCTCAAGACTTTAAAGTCTGTGGCCCCTCTAAGTTATACCCACTACTGGAACAAAATTAGGAACTCATGAAAAATAGTATCATCTAACCCGGCTTAATTTACTTCTAATTAAAATCTATACTTCTCCAGCTTGTCTATGAAAGAGCAGGCACTGTTATCTTATATTTAACTGTATCTTCAGGACTTAGTATATTCCCTACCACAAAGGAAATTTTTTTAAAATGTCTAGTGGAAGCTTTGCGCAGTGGCAGTATCGTAGCCAATGAGGTTTATCCGAGGCGCGATTACTGCTAATTAAAATGTCTAGTGGATAAAAGAATCAAGAAATAAATTAGTTTTCAGTTGATGTGACCTGTTTTTCCCTGGTCAGTTGCTCCTTTTCATTTAAGACAAGAATCAGACCTCTGTCCAGATTACTTGACTTGTAATACATTGGAATCTTGCTTATATAAAAACCCCGAATATCCCCTTTTCTTCATATTAACTGTTAAAAGGCATGTGTACACTAAACATGGAAAACTGATGCGAGGGAGGAAAATAAAGAACAAGGTCGGTAGGAACAAGTAAACCTATTAAATATAAACTAAATACAGACCAAAAATGGACCACATGATTCCTGATTGATCTTAACCTCCTAGAAATAGCTGTGTATCTTCTAATAATACCCAAATTTATATCTCTTGTTCATCAATGAGATTATCCTTTAATATCAATAATCAAAATAAAGGAAGCTACTATTTAAGGAGAAAAGTTAGTTACCTGGGTGTGTCAATTTAGCTCCACTGAGCTACAGTTGCCAGAATTCCATTCTAGTGTGCCTTACCAGTTAGGCTGAGCAGTAAGACACATTCCTTCTTAAGAGCTGGGAGACAAAAAGGAGGCACTTGCCTTTTTTTTAGCATTCTCCCGGCTATTCAACCAAATGCTAATCTAGGTGCTGCTGTGAAAAGATTCTGTAGATGTAATTCAAGTCCCTAACCAGTTGACTCTACTCAAACGGGAGATTATCCTGGGTGGGCCTGAGTTATTCAGTTGGAACCCTTTAAAAAAAGGTAAGGCCTCTCTAAACTCTATATACTCCCAAAAGCAAATGAGTCTGTACTTCCTTCCCTCTGGATCTTCCTGATGCCTGCTCTGGATACCCACGAGTAGAAGGTGGCACAACTGTGTAAAGTCAGTTCCTCATAAAAATTTCCCGTGTGCGTGTGTGTCCCACTGCTGCTTCTTTCAACAAAGACTTGTTTTTGTACACTTAGCATTAAAGTTGCACCTTCACAAAAATTATAAAATAAAATTAAAGAATCCCATTAAGCCACTAAAGCCATAATTATGGCATGAATGCAAGAGACTAACCTAACCTTGGTCAATGTATTTCAAAGTAGTCATAATGTTTAGGATTATTTTTAGGCTAAATAAATTAAAATCTATTCCAGAACATCAAATATGTTGCACCAAATCCACACTGCTAAGAAAAAAAAGAAGTATTCATTTTGGTGTGAAAAAATAACTTCTTTAATAGACATGTTGGATTAATCCTTATTCAATGAACATGCTGGAAAAGGTAGTTAAGGGAAGATGACAAGACTTCATTTCATCAAAGCATTAAAGGCACATTGAAAAGGCCATAAACCCCCAAATTTAACTAGATAGAATACTTTATGATGAATTTTTAGAAATCCTCCATCTTATCCAAAAGACCCTCATATTATTAAGTTGCAAGCAATAGAGCAGAATGCATATTCTGTGTACCATGTATATGCTGTGTATATGTCTACGTATTTCTAACTTTCCATAAACAGCCTGCACTCTTAGGATATTAATAAACCACAGAAAGATATTAATCTCATTTTACCCTAATATCCGAGAATACAACTGTACTTAGTTACGATTTAATCATGAGAGGACAGTCTTTGAAAATAATGCCCTATATAAATGAACAGATTATCATAATGAGGTGACAGATTTGAGAAAGGTTAAAAAAACTGAAAAGTTTTAGTCACTTATGAACAAACAATTGCTAGACTAATTTTCTACTTTAAGTACAAAATTTCTACTTTAAGTAGAAAGCAGTAACCACCTATGCCCACCAAAAAAAATAAGTATTCAATATTTAAAGGGTGTCTTGATAGTTTAATACATTAGACACAAAATCTCTTGAAACTCTATCTCACATACAGAATGATGTATCACCGTATTACCCTTTTCAAATTATTCTATGTGTAAAGAACACATTAATATTTTTTAAATACTGAAAAGTACCTAGAATAATTAAAAATTGGGGTTTTTTTTTTAAATCACAATTTCAAGACTGAGTATATACTGAATCAAGTGTATCTGGTCAAATGTATTCCTTTTTATTACCACATAATACTCTACTGCATGAAGAGACCAGAATTTCTATTTCCCCACTAACGGCCATTTATGCTGTTCTCAATAGTTTCTTATTGTTTATTATTGTATTATTTAGTACTGTATTACAATTAATAATAGTTTATTATTGTATTATTATAATGTTGCAGTGAACATCCTCACAGCTACCTTCCAAACAGATATAGGAGTTTCTTAAGGAACAGTACAATTCCCACAGACAAGATCTTTAATTAAAACAAAACAAAAACCCACAATTAACAGACACTGCTGAACTACTCTTTTAAGGTTGTTGTACCAATTTACACTCTCAACTTCACTGCATGGGAGTTACTTTCCTCCACATCTTAGACCTGGGTAGTATATTTATTTTGACAACTCAATGGGTGTCAAGTAGCACTACTGTTATTATAATGTGCATTCCCCTGAGTATTAATAAAGTAAAGCACTTTTTCATGTATTTATTCTCTTGGATCCATGGTCTTCTTTTCGTTTTTAAATGAATTCTTTATGTAGTCTAAATACAAACACTTTGTGTGGCTTGTCTTCTAACAGTTTAGTGTCTTTCACATAACAAGACTATTTTTTTCAATGTAGCCATATCTATCCACCTTCCTTTATGAGTTTTCTAGTCCAATCCTTCCTTACCCTGAAGTCACAAAAATATTCTATAATTTCTTCCAATGGTTTTCTTCTTTTCACTTTTAGATGTTTAATTAATTTGGAACTTCTTTTTGCAATATGCAAACCCAATTATCCTACCATCGTTTATTGAGTAGTCATGCCTCCCCAATTTCACTTGCTCTTCCTCTGTGTCCACCCCTTCTTTCTACAATATACATATACACATTATATTAAAAAGAGCTTTTAGTCTAATTCCACTGGCCTACCTGCTGTCCCTCAGGAATATAAACAATCAAATGACCAGAATTAAATGCACACAAGGCACCCCTCCATTTTGTTTTATACTTTCCTTTTAGAACTGTCCCAATGATCAGTTTTACTATCTCAAAAATTCTTAATCAATTCAGTTCCACACAAAAAAAGTTTTACTATTCTCTAATAAAAAAAAAAAGCATTTCTTGTTAGATTTTATTGACTATAAAAATTGACTCAGAAACAAGTATCTGTAATATATGGAATTTAAGTTATATATGTTTTCAAATTTATAGCTCTGAAGTTGTTCATTGTATTTTATATCTCCAGTATTTCTTATCTGGTCTTCATTTCCATTCTTAATATTTACTTACAGTATGTCATCTATTCTCAGGTAGTTCCTTAAAAATATTTCAACATCTTGGAACCTGAAGGGTCTTACTAATACTGTAAATGCTAGGCAGCAGTAGTACACAGCTGTCCCTGCCTAACTACTGTTGGGACTGGCAGTCTGCAACAAGCCCTGAGCATCCCTGCATGTTCCCACAGGTGTGCCAGAATGCAAGGCTGATCGATCTCCTCTAACTGAGCAGTTTCTGCACTCAGCCACACAGGCAACTAAACAGCTCAAGGAGACCTACTGCTTCCTCCCCTGAGGTAGGAAACTGTATTGTCTGCTGCTTGTCCCTAAGTGCTGGAACCTTGGCCCTGGTGCCTCTTCAGCAATGCAACCCACTGAATATAGAGTATCAGCATATTTGCACTGATTCCCTGAGCCCCAGCTCCTAGTTGACACAGTTGGACCAGCTCTCTGGTCCAGAAGTCTCAGGTCTTCCACCAGCATCCTTAAAACTGTGGTGGCAAGTTATCCTGTTAGCTTACAAGTAGGATAAAAATTTCAGACCCTTTGCTTTTCTTAACAACAGTGTGTATTAAACTTGCAATGGCCTGAGGAAAAAACTAGGGAATAATAATAAGTACTCCTTTAAAAAAATGCTACATCACCAACATTCCTGGTTTGATTTTATGTGGCAAGAAAAACACGATTGAATAAAAGGATGATACAACTGTCCAGGAAGTTTTTAGAAATTGTTTTCACTTATATTTTTCCTTTTAACATATATCACAGAATATAATGAAAAGACAGAATAAGTCTCTAAATACCAATTCTATGTGAATAACAAACTTTTGTCAATTTATTTGGTTGCTTTCTTCATCCTGGTGGTACAAAATAGTGCTGCATTTAATGACATCAAATTAATTCTGCCTCCTTTTTTTTGAATCAGTTTTATCCTTATCTATTTTGTGAATTTTCAAAGAAACAACTTTTACTTTTGTGAATCATCAACACTCAGCACTTTTACTATTTATTAAATTTTGCTCTTTGCTTTACTTCTTTCTTTTCCTTTGCTTTGATCTACTTTACTGTTCTTTCTAGATCCTTAAGTTAAAAATGTACCTCATTTATTGCCAACACTTAATTTTTAGTTTCTAGGTGATTTCCAGCTCAATTTCATTGTGATTAAAAAGCACAATGAATTATTTCAGTTTTCTGAACTTTGCTGAGGCTTTATTGGCCAGCACACACTTTGGCAAAATGTTCCACACATATGCTTTAAAAGAATGAATTATGGCACTGTTGGGTGCAATGTTCTTTGTTTGTTTGTTTTTGTTTTTTTGTTAACTATATCCAATCTGTTAGTTGCATTGTTCAGATCCTCTACATTCCTAACTTCGTCTGCTTGTTGATCAGTTATTTAGGGTTGTATTAAAATTATGACTGTGGATATAAGTTCTTCTAGTTCTGGTAAGTTTTATTTTATATGTCTTTTCAACCTATTCTATTTGGTATATACAAATTTAAGACCATGATCTCTTCTTGTTGGACTGACCTTGTATATAACAGAATTTTCTATATAAGCAATCGGGAAGTCTCATAATAGTATTACTTACTTCTTCCTTTCCAATATGCATGCTATTTTTATTCCTTTTTTGTTTGTTTTATTGCACCTTCTAAGAAGTTTAGTAGCAACTGGAGTAGAAAAGATGAAAGCAAACACCCTTGGCTTGTTCATGATCTTAGGAGAAATGCAATGAGTCTGTCACTGTGGAGCATGACACTCCTAT